GCCGACAATAGCCGACAACTACTACCATGGTTTGAGGGCTTCTGCTGTGAGGCTGTGGTGTGGATTTGCAGCATGGCGTCGTCAACGCAAAGAACAGGTCGCTCTTTGCTACTTATAGCTCCATGCCATCGACAGGTCCTCGAAGACACGCTGTACTGCACGTCGCAAAGGCCGTGCCTCTGGTCCCCAGCAAACCTTCTCCGTAACTACGACTCATTTCTATGAGCTCATCCCCACGTGAGCATCTCACGCCGTAAACCGCATTGGAGCCGGAAGCCAGCACGACCTCCTCCACTTCGGCCTCACTCTGGTATTCTGGTGTGCCGGGCTTTAGTTTCGACTTTCGACCCTGAAGTCTCAGCTGCTCACCGTCCATGAGAGCTCCAAAGCTTCTGTGTCTGGTCGCCCGCTCTGCAAGGCGGCCTCTCCAAGCAGGACACCAAAGCGTCAGAACGCGCCACTACGAGGCTCACTCGACCCGCCCCGACCTCCTCGAAGGCCAAGGTTGCTCGCTTTTTGGCATTTCCTAGAACCAGTCGCACCTGTCACAAAAAACAAGTTAGAGCTATGGCTTGGAGCTTGCATGATTCCGCTGCATGCTGGGGGCACAATCTGTTTGAACTCCTTCTCTGACAGCGCTCGGAAGATGAGCAGCTCGTCGATGCGGTTCAAAAACTCCGGCCTTGCAAGCATAGAAGTCGTCTGAACGTGGTAAATACCAGTAGAAACGCAGTGTGGGAGGGGAGAGGAGTGTCTTCGTGGAAGACCGTCCACCGGGTCAGGCCTGAACTTCTGCTGCAACTGCCGCTGGACCGCTGCACGTAGCTGGTCATAAGTGCCCACACCAGAAGCCTGCCAGGCAGTCGAACATTGACCTTGATCTGACTTGTCAAGCTGTCGCGGAGATGCTACGGCATGCCAGGAGCAGCGCGACCAGATTTTCGGACATTGCCGGAACATGAGCTCTTGCGATATGTTGCTAACTTTAAAGTTGAACAGGCCCGAGGAAGCAGTGTCTGTACACGGCGTGCACATCCCGGACCTGAATTATGGCATTTCCTCCATGGTCTACTTCCGAGACCATGATAATGAATGATAATGATAGTTGGGGGTATACGATGAGGCGAAGTGGTATCTTCGGACGAGATCCAGCTTCAAGGGTCATGTCCGCATCTACCACAAGTTGGTGCACAAGCACGGTCCTTGCGAAAGTTCGGGAGCGGCTTCCACTTTGAGACGCGCAAAGAGTCGCGGAGACTCTTCATCCTTGGGCTCGGCCGTCGTCTCGGAGTCCTCCAGGGTCTCCTTGATACCAGGATGCACCTCGGGGATCACCGGCAGCTCCGCTTCGAGCTCCATGTCCATCACCGGCTCCTCAACTGTGCGAATGGTCCCTGCCACCTCGGCACACTCGTCGGCCGCGTCCGCCACCGTCGGCACCGCTTGCTCCAGGATCTCCGGGCTGGCCTGCGCCGCCCTGGACTCGGCCTGCGTCTCGGCCTGGGGCGCCACCGTCTGCTCGGCCGGCGTCTGCGGCTTCACAGCTTTCTTCTTCCCTGCCTTGCTGGAGGGCTTGGCGACTGGCTTGGAGTCCGTGCAGCCCATGCTGAAGAGGGGTTCGAAGATTGGCGATTCCTCGCAGCTACCAACCAAGCTACAGCCAACTGCGCAGTATGATCCTTCTTGATTGGCACGGATTCCACACTGTCAGAACAGGTGTGCTTGCTGAGATTACGTGAGGGGAGCCTGCACTTTTTATTCACGGCTCGCGGCTAGCGACGACAGTCCTCACTGGCTGGACGGGGGCCATGCCTGTACAGAACTTGTTGCATGGAAATCTGTACAACAGTTTTCAAGGTCCGTCAGCGCTGCGGGACGTTAATTCGAGAGCAGCGGCCTGGTGCCGCTCATCAAAAGAGCTCCATCACAAAGTCTGCAGTGTCGTGGGCGGCTTCGGCAACCCACTCACCAGCATCTCCAGCAGCATCGGCCACATCGGTGGCTACATGCCCAGCATCTTCGACTATTCCATCCCAGCCGACGTCTGCTATGTGTTCTCCCAGCACAACACCTGCCACAGCTAGGCCGCCTACGGCAAGAACAGCTGCACCGCCCGCGGCCACCTTTGCTCCTGGACTCCACCTTGTTGCGCCTGCCTTTTTTGGATCTGTGTCGCTTTTGGTGCTTTTGACGGTGGGCGTCTCCGGTGTCTCTGCGCATGGAGGCACTGGAGGCATGGGAGGCACGGCCGCAGGTGCCGAGGGTTTGAAGCTGTCAAAAGCCTTAGTAGGTGGAGTGACGACAGGTGGCAGAGGAACAAGCATAGGGTCACCTGCTCTGGCCGCTGCCGGGACTTGGACGGCAATGAACTGATCCGTCCGTGGGTCTGGAACGTAGATGCATTTGCCTGCCGTTCCTTCCGGGACGGTCACACGCAGCTTGGGCGCTGGCCCTGTCCTCCCTGGCTCCCCCCCTTTCCAGCCGGGAGGCGGGCGGATGGCACGCGTCTTTCTACTTTCCAAGTTGGTTTGCGTCATTCTTCGGAAGTCCACTTGGTAGCGCTGGCCCCCAACTTTGCAAGGCACAACGTCCAAGCCGGCCATGTATGCGCGCTTCAAGATCGTATCTTGGCGTTGATCGAAGTCCTGCCAGGAGCCTGCGAGCTTCACTTGAAAGCAACCGGCCGTCATGTTGGGGCTGCGATAGTTCAAGGCCTGAGATGTGGAGACTAAAGCTTGAGCAGAGGTGCCCCGGTAGCCCACGTTTCTGGAGACTTCCAACTTCGAAGCTGCCGACTCTTTCGCTGCACTCCCTAAGCATGGCCTGCTGCAGAATTTCTTGACTTCCCACGTTAGAGGTCATCACCTCAGGAACCAGCGCAGAAGGTCGCCCAAGAACATCCTGCTATGACGTGCGGCACAGCTGAGCCCCTTGCGATAATGGAGTTGGAGAAACTCACGGTTCTGCCCTTGCACAAGCCACCGCAGGGTACGCATGGTACGCCAGGACAGCAGAAGTGGCACAATGCTGATGCCACTGCCTTTCCATCCGTCAGGCGTCCGTCCTCCAGCACTTGCAAGAGAAGGTTGAGCACCTGACAGACGGCACACCCAGAAACAGCAGGCGAAGCTAGAAACATCGAGACGTCTCTTGACTGCACGGTGTGGGCATGGAGGAAGGAACCAGGGGGTGGGTGAGAGAGTGCACGCGGTGCATTGCCTCAGAGTGGGCTTTCTCAATCTCGTCCAAGACCACGACGCTGTATGGTCGTCGACTCGGGATTGAAATATGTCACTCCAGCAACTCCGTGGGTCGCCAAAGAGCATACCTTCCGGGCACCGCACCGCACAGCCTCAGTCAGCTGGCCACTACGAGGGTCGTCGTAGCCGACCTCATGAGTGGACGAAGAACACACGGTGAGGTGCACGGGTCCCTCCACTCCTCTTCAGCACTGAGTGCCTTGGTCCTCTGTCTTCCCTTCTTTCTGGCCGTGTTTCTAGAGCCGAATGTGCCGCCGATGCCCGCGACGATTTTACCGAGCCACAGCGACAACGGTCGAGTGCATGCAAGCAGCAGAAGGGTCCTTTTCGCCATGTGGCCTCCCACAACCACCAAGCCCCTCCCAGGTGCAGGGGCTAAGTTGAGGTCGGGTTGAGCCCATGGCCGGCCCCTTGTGAAAAGCTTCTGGGTGCTTCCGCCAACATCCCGGTACTCAATGCGAAGGCCACTCGACTAGTGGCGTCGATGTGGTTGTAATCGCGAGCACTGCAGACAGTTCGCTGGGCTTCCTGGCATAGCCGGGCGGAGCCCCAATAAGCCGCGAGACGCTGTGGGGCTCGGAGAACTCGCTCATGTCAAGACGCACCATGGCCTTTCAGCCGAGAAAGTTTCCATCGCCTCTACGAAGGGTTTGCAGTTTCAAACCCACCTTGAGGTCTGCGTAATACTCCTCTGCCAAGACCCGGCACAGCTCCGTCTTGCCAACGCCTCGTCAGGCATTCGGAAGAGCACATCTCAGTTTGGGCTTGGAATGTCGTGGCTGCGACCTGTTGGGCCAGCAAAGAAGAACGAAGCTGTCGGGCGGCTGGATCCTCCACAATTTCACTCAGTGGCACGTCGACTCTCTAGCCAGGCGCATGCCGTGGCGCTCCTGCCAGACCACTCCGTGCTCGTCGCACTGCACGCGACAAGGCGCTGACAGCAGGCGACTGGCCTCGGACGCAGAAGGCACCAAATTGAAGCGGCCAAACATTCGGAATTGGGGCTCAACCAATGATGCGCTGCTCCAGCGTCTCCTTCAGAGTCTCAATGCGACGACGAGAAGCATGAGAACCTCCTCAGGTCCTCGAGGCGCATAAGCCGGTCCGACTCGCCCTCGGAAAGCCGCTCCACAGGAATGCCTGACCTTGGATCAGAGCACCGCGAGGCTTTGTTGGCTATTGCTAGAAGGGCCCCGGCCACTTTGCAAGAACAGTTGCAACATCTTGTGCCGTCACTAGAGGCTTGGACCTGTGCACAAATGAAGTCGCGGAGCCCGGCTCTCAACTGAATTGGTCATGGTAACTAGGCGTTGGCAACCTGTTTTGATCCGCGCTTATTGAGAACACGTCGGACAAGTCTGACTTCACGGTTGAAATGCCCGCGGTCACACGTAGACGAAGTCTTCTGCCTCTCTACTGCTGGCCCTTTCGTTTGCCAAGTCCAGGGACATCTCGAACTGTGCGTCAGTGGCGTTCGAAGGGGACGTCCAAGCGGAGATTGTGCGTCTCTCTAAGTCGAAGATGCCCGTGATAGAAGTGAAGCATGGATCCTTGCTAGTGCGGTTTCGCCACACAGGCCAATCCGGGTCTGATCTGTCTGACAAGAATGATCGCAAGTCTTTCATGTTGTTCGGCTTAAGCTGATTCCAGCGCCCCTCCCGGTGAACCGAGGATGCTTCCGGAAATTGAGATACATTCAGCAGCTTGAACTGGTTCGCATGCACATATGGGCCTGTAATTTTTCGCATAGCATGGAGGCCGCCAGTAGTAACTTCAACATTCCAGAGTTCCTTCTCGCTAAGAAGTCCGACGTTGTAGTTCAAGGCTGTGGTGACGCGCTTGTTGGAAGCGCGAGTGACCAAGTCTTGCAGGGACCTAGCTTCCGTCATGTGCCGAGCTACCCAAGCAGTCCCCACTCCTCTGGACCGAAAGCTGCGTGGGAACAGAGAGTTCACAGTCCACACCAAACCATATGAATTCCAGTTCAACTGTCCTCCGAAAAGCAGTCCAGGGTAGCACCAGGATCCCATACGGAACTTGGCCCGTCCGTCAGCATCTAGCGCTGTCGCAATCACGAAATATGAGGATTTCCGCCAGTTGATAGGCCAGTCGTCATTGTGCCCAAGTGCAGTCAGCTGAGCACTTACCACGTAGCCGTCCGTGCAGTGTCCTTCACGCTTTCGCGGCTCCACCCACTGCGCAAGCTCCTGGCAGGTTTACTGGGCTGAGTCCTCGGGGCTACTTGGATCTGACATTGGACCAAGAACACAGATGCGCCTCCCGAAGTTGGTTCACAAGCAAGCGCTGCAGTGCAATGCCGGAGCCGTCTGCCATGCCCTCTACCTGACGAAACATTTTAGAGTTCCCCCCAGCCCAGCCACACAGCCGGCACCGATGGCCTAAACAGATTGTCAGCGACACCCACAAATCCTTGCATATGCCCTGTCGAACCTCTCGCATGTAGAGGGGGTAAGTGGCGTTCGTCTCCGAAACGAGGCCCTCAAAAATTTCACGCCCTTCGCCAAGTACCTCAGCACGAAAACTTGCATGGCTGCGCATTTGAAGCGTTACATGTCTGAAAAGCCGAGCAGTTAAGCGCCTGGACCTGACTCCTGATTGAGGGAAGCATTCCACACGAAAGTACATTTCCAGGTTTGCCTCTTTGCTTGTGTCCTTTGGTGATTGAACACCAACGCGCGCGCAGCATCAGGCCGAGGTGCCCAGGCTTCCATAGCATGAAGCTCCAAGTCTCCTGCCCAGACTGTCTGGATATCAGGCCCCATGGCTTCTCCGATAGCCTTGCCAAATTGGAAGTGCCCGTCGCTCGTTCCATCCACATACTCCACGAATACAGTCCGCATAAAGCCCGTGTCCTGTGCAGATGCGACCGCGAAGAACCATGCCAGACATGGCTTGAGCATGGCTCGCTGCTTACTTGGCTTAGGTAACTTTAAGCATACGCTTGCAAGGTGCCCCGGCGTTTGAACCCCCTGTGCACAGGTGAAGAAGCGTCGGCAAGAAGCGAAAGAGGTGTCTGTGCTCTGGGCACGAGAACTGCAATGCTGACTTATCTCTTTGACCCGAGACTGATCACGACTCGACTCGGTGCCAGACAGTTCACCCGGATCGACCTGGTTGTTCGCCTGCACCCAAATCAAAGCAAAGCAGCCTTGGCAATCCTCGACTGATGATGGAGAACCCTTCGGCAGCCTCCTCCAGCTCCATCTCTATCCGCCACTGGGCCTCAACGGACAGCATGCCCCGCAACGTATGGGCAGAGCTCACCTGGAGGTCCGGGTCGGAGGTTGCTGAGGGCAGGACCAAGCTGCTTGCCTCGTCAATCAGGTCGACCGCCTGGCACGTTCCGCGCTGAATCGGCTTTCCCAGTGACCTTAGCGTAAAACTATTCTATAGTCAGACCGTCAACTTAATAAAGGCACGAGTGAAACTACACTCTGCCTGAAGCCACCATATTGTCTCTTGCCCAGCTGAGTCTTCCGTCTATCGACACAATCGGAAACCAACTCTTCCGCTTACAATTGCATCTGGCCCTGCTGTTGCGAGTTTGCTTCGCGGGTGTCTGCGGTAGTGCAGCCGGCATTGCTGAGCTCAGCCACTGAAACAGTGCGGGCGCAAGGATTTTCGGCTACGCCTTGTCTGGCAAGAAGCGGTCATTGACATAGCCTGAGCTGGGCCCGCTCAGCATGAATGATCGGGGATGGTATTCGTTACTAGCAGCAGCAGCAGCAGCAGCAGCAGCAGCAGCAGTAGCAGCAGGAGTAGTATACTAGTAGTAGTAGTAGTAGTAGTAGTAGTAGTAGTAGTAGTTGTAGTTGTAGTAGTAGCAGCAGCAGCAGCAGTAGCAGTGGTAGCAGCAGTGGCAGCAGTAGTAGCTATAGTAGTAGCTGTAGCAGTGGCAGTAGCAATAGCAGTAGGAGTAGGACTAGGAGGAGTAGGAGTGGTAGGAGGAGGAGTAGTAGTAATAGTAGTAGTTGTTGTCGTTGTCGTAGTAGTAGTAGGAGTAGGAGGAGTAGTAGGAG